GCACTCAACGACAGCAACGGAAAACGCATCACACTGCCACACTGCAAAAACTACTCAGGAACTGCTCAAGGAACACAACAGAGAGCAGAAGGCGCTGACTTGGCCTTGAAGCTTGTCAGATCCCAGTCCAGTCCAGGATTCATGAGATACACAGGAACAAGCCGGATCCACAGAGGCCCCACCTCGCACCACAGGATCCAAAAGATGCACTCCTGGTACCAGATACTACATGTCCTGTGTCAGTGGCCTGATGGGTCAGAGGTGTTTTAGCGGCACAAGAGATATTAAAGATGTGGTTTTAATGTTATGGCTGATCCATGTATTCTCACCACAGTATGTGTTTCACATATTCTTTATGCCTGTGACTTTAAATGTAAATGTTATTTTTCACCATGGATGTTGTGATTAACCGTTGAATCCTCCAACCTAAAGAACTGCCATAGCAAGAGTTGTTTTATGTGCTTTTTCTATATTATGCAGAGCTTTGGGCCCAAACATGGTTGGAAGAGTGTGATGTGTTAAAGATGGGGAAGAGCCAGTGATAGTGACTGCTCTTCCAATGTTTGTGTTTCTGCTTTGCCAGAGTGCATATGTTTGATATGAGCATGTGTGGCTGTCAGTCACTGGCATCTTGGCTGTACAGGCGTGAACACATCCTGCTGAACACGTGTGAGTCAGTGTGACAAACACAGTGAATGACTCCAACCCTTTACAGCATCAGTATACTGTCATGTCCCAGCACCACAAGCAAATGGCCTGTACTGGCAGGATTAATTCAGTTTAGAAAAAAAAAAGTATTAACAGTAAAGCAAGTGCAGGATAAAGAAATCAGGTTGGGCTCTATTCACAGCTAAACAATAAAGTGAATCTACATCTGCACGCGAGGTGAGTTACAAAATCATAGAATTCACATTTTGCAGGAAAATATAAAATCATGAGTAAAAAAAAAAAATACAGTGAATAAGAAAGAACACCTGAAAGAAGGGGCACGAGCGTATTGTATCAGCATCAGGGCTGAAAACAAGATCAATGAGCTCGTATTGTGGTGTTTACGGTTACATAACTGGGATATTTTACCATTAATAAAATCACTCTTAAAAATCGTTACCGTTATAAAAATAGTCAGACTGGTAAAAAAAAAACTGAAGATAACAGATATCATATAAATATGACTGTGGACAGATTCTTCATTGCTGTTTTCTTGTCCAAAATTAAAGCTGTAAACTTGCTGGTGGTACAGCTAGAACACACAAACCATGCTGGAAACAGGACTGACAAATGTGTGTATACATTTATGTCGTTACAAGTCACTTGTTGTTTGAACGGTATTCTTTGTGTGTCATGTTGTTTTCATTCTTGGTATGTTTTAAATAGAAAATATAAATGTATGACATTTGTACATTCTTGTCACATTTTTTCACATCTTGAATTGAATATATATTGTAATTTATTATGAACACTGTTCTGTTCATCTTAAAACGGTCATAAAATAGGCTGTAACGAAACAATGGACAGGTGATACAGCTGTGCTACATGTAATATTCATTTGCTGTTAAACTCCAGCTATGAGGCAAGGGAAACTTATTTCTTAACTGTCTATTGCTTCTCTATCTCCCTCTCACTTCCTCCACAATTGCATCCATGGTCGAAAAGGACAAGCATGCCAGAAAGGGAATTGAGGATGTAAAAACTGAGAAGTAAGAAACTTAGTTTGGCTAACTTGCATGATTATACTCAATTGACTAAAGTTTGTTGAATCTAAAAATTGTGATGAAGGATGAAAAGCACGCTGACAGTTTGATAATGGCCTTCAGGGATTTTCAGAATTCTGTGATCCTGTAAAGTTTTCTAACCTTCTCTAAAACTCAAGCTGAAACATTTTAAAGTTCCTAAAAAAAATTATAATGACAGAAGTTACCATCAGTCATAAATGTGTTATTCATTTCCCTGGAAAATGAAATGAAAGAAAAGTAGAAGGTCGAGGATGACAGCTCCATCTTTTCGTGACAAGGTGTGCAGGACGGAGCCATACAGCCGGAGTTTCAGAGGCTCTGCCCTCTGCTCTTCATCCCACAAGAGGCTTACCTGCGTCAGGTTCCCTCTACACAAAAGACCAAGAGGCCAAGGTAGCGGTTACATTATAATTTCAGGGGAAGGAAGCAGCTGAGAGGGAAGTCTGGATAGAAGCCAGAGAGCATTATGGGATAGGTGGGAGGTACTGCAGTGGGGAAGGGGATTAAGGAGGTTAAGTGAGGTTTTTGTGCTGCTCTTTATCCCAGCTGTATAGTGACTCAGTGCAGGATGTTCTCACATATGGTATTTCAGCACAAACAAGTAAAAAAAAAAGAAGAAAACAGAGATTAGTAGGTATATAACATAAAGCCTAAAATACCCTTTTTGCACTCTGTATACTTACTCTGTACCCTTAAATTTGGTATTTTGTACCCATGATTCAGTTATCGTGCTCTTCACTCACTTAATCGTGCTCTCATATGTAGTTTTAGAACTTTTCATGACTCCTGTAGGACGTGTTAAGTCACACCACACAGTTTAATCGGCATTCCTGCACCACCACAACCTGGGACTTTTCTGCTCACACTGAACTGAAGCTCCTGGTTGGTTTAGTCCAGTGGCAGCTTCACTGAAATCTGTTTGAAAAAGATGGTCGAGTCCTCAGTGCTTATAAAGGAAACAATGGAAGTGTTTCTTTGTACAGTTCTGAAGGCGAATCTGTACTCCTGGGCTTGATGGTTCATTTAAAAATATTGTACTTATCATAATGGACATTTTCTCTTTTTGTATACTACAACTGAGCAGACGGCAGAGACTGACATCACTGACATATGCAGTATTTATTCTTAGAATGTATTTTTTTATTATTAACAGCATGCGGCATTCGAGTCTCTTGCCACCAATGAACCACCAATGAAAATGATTTTCATGCCTCTTGTTTTATTTTTCTTTATTTCTTGCTGTGAATGTATGAAAATGAAAAATGTACTGAACTTCAACCTAGACTCAGCTTCAAGCCACTCAGCTGAGCGATGGCAATAAACAGTATTAATCCATTCTTCAACAAATGCAGCAAAAACAGAATATTCAAAAGAGAAAAATCTTAAAATGGGAGAACAGAAAAAGCTCAAAGACACTAAAAAAAATAACGCTTTGCTGTTTTGAGCCTGTGCTGAATGTTAAATGATGAAGAAGGTGAAACATTAACCATTACCTGACCTGTTTTTGGAAGCATCTAATCAGTGCAAAGGCAGTCTTTGTCTTTGTTGTCTTGACAATATTTTCCCATGGCTGCTAATACATGGGTGAAGGAATTGTTCAATTCATAAACCTGATTAGAGAAAGGTTAGACATGTTTTTGAGAAAGAAAAAAAAAAAGGCTGCTTTCTTACTTTCTCTGTGACAATTAGATGAGATGTCTAACATCTCCACCATCCTCATGTCTATATATTAAATATAAGGATACAACTAGCATGGATTTAGCTTAGCACAAAGACTGGAAACCACTACCTTGTCTCTGTCCAAAATTTTCCAATCACCAACTTCGAAGCTTATTAACTAACTTGTGTCTCTTTCGTGGAGACTCCAAGACATTTTCTGGTTCCAGCTAAAAAAAAAAAAGATTTCAGTATGTAGGCACCTTTAAAATGAGAAATAAGGCGTTGGTTTGTGATACTTACAGGTGCAGGTTGGTGGATTTTGATACGTCTGAACAGAGTCAAGAAAGCAAGTCTTTGTGTTATGCTAACTTCGGATACGTTGAGATGCCCATCCACCACGCACACATCCACATCTTTCCATTAGTCTTCTGAGCATAAAACACACACGAGTTCCTCACTGGCAATGAATGTTGGGGATACATGAAAAATCACGAGGTGTAAGTCTTTTTAATATCAGCATAATTGTGAATCAAGCAATATTAATTACATGAACAAATAAACTAATGTAAAATTTAAGAGCATCCTTCAGCATCAGCTTGTTCTATCATGTTGAAAATACTACAAAAAGTATGTTTTTATAGATGTATATATATCCATCCATTCATTTTCTATACACCGCTTAATCCTCATTAGGGTCGCGGGGGGGCTGGAGTCTATCCCAGCTGACTTAGGGCGAAGGCAGGGGACACCCTGGACAGGTCGCCAGTATGTATATATATGTATGGCTTAACTATTCTTGGTAAAAAAAAAAAAGGGAAAATCATTCCTTGTTCTTGTATTTGTGTTACATTTTAGTTTGGGTGGAACATTTGGATTAAAGTCTGACGGATCTGAAAAAAAAAATAAAAAATCAAATGTCTTTCAAATCCCAGTGGATGCTTTTGAAAGCTGCCAGAATTCATATCAAAGAGACGGAAAATGGAAAATGTGCAAAAACCCAAATCGCAGTGGAATTGTCTTTGTTAATTTCAAGCTGTTTATCACTTTAGAAAAGTCGGGGTCACTTTATCGTTGTGAGATCTAATTCTGGAAATTAAGCCTCTCCCTCTGTCACACCTTAAACGCGATCCAGCGCCTCATCACCTCAACGCTTCAACACTTTAACTCCTGCGTCGCACACGCTGATGTGCACCTCCTCACCGAGGCCTCTGAGCTCTGCTGCTCCACAACGTTCATTAACTGCTTGACACCCGAACGCCGCCGCCGCCGCCCACAGACTGACACTTCGGCAAAACACATCTCCAAGGACAAGAGTGCAATTAATTAGGTTTGTTGTGTGATCTTTGGCTCAGGAGCTACATATGGAATAAAAATCCTCTTCATCTTTCACACATGTTTAACACCGTGTGACAAACCACAAAAAAAATAAGAATTAAATAAATAAATAAACAAACAAAGAAACAACTAGTCCATGCAAAACGCGGCTGCTTTGCATTTCCAGGCAGCTTGTTTTTTTTTCCCACCCAACGCTGCCTAAATGTAGATGCAAACAGAAATATATGACAGACAGGGTGAGAAATAAATCAGCAGGTAGATTACCAGACTCACAGGGGCTTCCACATATTTGGCAGCTGCTTTCACCTTTCAGGAGGGAGGCAGGAGGAAGACAAGGAAGGGGAAAGAGAAGGAAAAGAAGAAGAAGAAGAAAAAGAAGAAGAATGATACTGAAGTTCCGCTGCAAAGATCTGGTTTCCAGCAAATAACAGGTTGGCTCTGTGAGCAGAGAAAGAAGCAGCTCAACGCTCTCTGTTTCCAGGAAGAAAAACACGGCGACTCACTGTGAAAGAGAGAATTGAAGAGAAGAGTGTCCCTTCATCGTATCTGGAGAGCTTGGAGAGGACGCCGTCTAAAACAGCGGCAAACTGCAGACAAGAGAAGAGACACAATTATAAACTTTATTTTCTCTTTCCATCAAGACATTTTTTGGGGGTAAATGAGTCCTTCAAAAAAAAAAGTGAAAAACCAGGACAGGACAGTCAGAATATTACAACACTTTTCCAGCGTTTTCTTTTATCGTTTGACTAATTCAGCAACCCGTTAGTTCATCATTTTTTCAAGAAAATTCTTAAATAAATGGAACTGCACTGATGATTTGTTTTTCTTTTTTGAGAAAATACATTATATACTTTGTTAAAAAAAAATACATGTGCCCATCATATTTACAAGTAAGTTAATAAAATAAAATAAAACAACATCAAGCAATTAAAAAAGAATCATAGAATTATAGAAATACATCATGCTGAAAGTAAAACTCAACCAAGCATTTGTGTCAATAACAGTTTCTAAAACGTCAAAATATTAGAACTTCCTCCAACTAAATAGAAGAAACACTAAAGTGTTTTAAAGAAATTATAAAATAATACGCAACAGTAAAAAAGACAACAAGAAGATTTCATTGGAAGATAAAAAGAGATTTACCTTTGACACGAGGGAGGAAATCATTTCTTTGAACGCATCCTCAATCAGAACATCAATTTTGGAGTGGTACTGTTGCTGTGGGGGGAGGGTGGTGGGTAACGGATAGAGGTGGGCAACAGACATGTTTATGAGGGAGACATGAAGGGGGAACAAAAAAAAGCAATATCTTGTTATTTTCAGGAAACTGATGGAACACAAAGGTTAAAAATGACTCCTCACCTCCCTGATACAGAACAGTATTGTCTGTGCTGTAAAAGACAGAAATAAAAACCTACAACACTCCGTATGAACATCAAGTCAACACACACACACACACACACATGCACGCACACACGCACAAAGACACACACAAAAACACACACCCCTCCCAACACAGTGAGGCGTGAAAAACCTTCCCATCCATGTAACGCTGCTGAGTTAAGCAGCTAATAGGATGCATTATGCGGCTGAATAACATTCCCATCCGCGCTGGAAAAGCGAAGGAATCTGAAGGATACTTTTTGTGCGTCTCCCTACAATTAGAGCAGCCTTGTATTCCTCTAAAGCACCGGTCCAGCTGCGAGGACCAAAGGCTCACACAAGATTCAATTAATCCGCCATTTCATGTCTCGTTTGCCCCCCCCCCCCCCCCAATCCAAAAAAAAAAAATTCATGGCACCTTTTCCCTTGAAGGAACGGAGAGAAAAAAAAAAAGGCTGGGGCTGACGCTGAATGGCAGCAGCAGCAGGGGAGTTCATCTCTTGGCGACAATGCCCTTTCACTGGCCGTCTAAAGAACACCCAAATTAAAAATTTCAATCAACAAAGCCCACAGATCGCTGACAAATTGCAGGTCCAGGGAGGTCACCGCCATTTTTTAAATCCCCCCCCCCTTCCTCTCTTCCACGAGTCTGCAAAATGGCAGCTCTCTTTCAGCGCGCTGAATCTTTTTGGCAAATCTTGAGAGCTTGTCTTTTTTTCTCTTCTTACCTCAATTAACACTGCTGCTTTTGCCTTCTTTTCTCTACAATGACAGCCATAAAAAAAAAAAGCAGGAGGGAAGAGAAGAATTTGTTTGGTTTTTGCCATATGCAAAGCAAAAAGTTAAAAGAACAATTGTTTCTTTTATAAACATTTATTTGGTTATCGAGGTTCAGCCGATGCTGCTGCTGCTGCTTCAGCTTTGCAACACGTCTAAGATCTGAACTGGGTTACATTTTTAACACCACCCGCTGAAACAGTTTAAATAAACTCTGTAACAAAATGGCACCAGAGTGATGAGCATGTTGGATGATTTCAGTTGATCACCAGTTTTCCAAGCAGACATCATGAATGAGGAGTACGGGGAGCTAAGGGGGTTTAAACTTTCCAGTTTTACTCCCCATGTTTCCGTTTTCCCTCAAAAGAAGGAGCAGAATTTGTCATGAAGGGCTTTAAAAATAGCACTTGCTGCAGATCAATGCACTTTAAGACTCGTGGCAGAAAACGGACAACACCGGTGGTTTGGATCCAGTTCAGACGGACTCTCTTCAAGACCCTTCAGACTGCTGGTCTCATTCACAAAAACCTTCAGGCAAGTAAATGTGAATGTGCCTCACATTCCACAGGCTCTGCTAATGATGATGATGATAAGATTTAAAGGAAGATTCCCCTTTATTTTAAACTGCTTTCTAGGAATTGGATGACTGTGTCTGTAGGAGTCATGCTAACATAACACATTTTTATGAGCATTTAAGTTTGAATTTCAAAAAGTTCATGGAAACAAAAGTTGTTTTTTTTTTCCAAATGTCCACAATTTTGCACGTTTTAAGCTTGCTTGTTGTGTTTTAATGTATACACCTCTCCTGTATGAGTCCTGACATCGCGGCCATTTAGCTCACATGACTTATCCCAAAGCCTTTTCTAAGTTTTCCATTCTGGATGGCAAAAGGTTGGTTTGTTTTATGTGGGTGTAGTCTATAGCACCACCCTTTGACACCACACAGTCAAGGTTATTCACTCCAAAGCAGTTCATCAAAACAAGTCTAATTTGCAGTTTCTTTTTTAAAAGAATGTTTCTGACTAATCAAAAGTTTGATTCAAATTCCCTTGACAACTACATGGAAATGCGACTATTCCCTCCATTTTAGAGATTCAAGGCAACAAAGAATGACACAGAAAAAGTACAAATCTGTGCAGCTGGAAATTCCACATGAGGAACACGACGCCTGTTTCCTTCATAGTCATGTTGAGGCCAACTAGACACAACTGGAGTCTCTTTGTATTGTGCAGCGGTGGTCCATGAAAACTGCTTGGTGTCTACCTTGTCAACTCAGTCTGGAAATGTTGGAACTTGCAAACACAGTCTACCCTATCTTATTAACTACAACCTTATACATGCAAACAAACTGGAAAGTGCAGGTGAATACGTACACCGACGAGGTCAGCCAGAAAGTTGTTCCTGCTGGAGATCCCTGATGCAGGGAACAGAACGCTGTTTCCAGATTAATTATTTCTATGTTTACGTTAAAACTTTGTCATTGGTTCGTATTTTCTTGGGGGTCTTGGTTGCCTGTCATACATTCCTCTGTCTCCCCCCATTTCCTTTTGGCCTCTCTGCTGTAAACTACCTAAAATACATTAAATGCAAAGTACCAAATAAATGGAGGGGAAAAAATCAAGATGAAGAAAACATAAAAGTAAATTTAGCTGCCAAAAATTCCCTTTGTAGAACTAAACATCAGTTTATTAGATCACTGGGTAATGTTTGGATATCTTCATATATGCTTCACTTCCTGTTTGACTGCCTTTGCCCAAAATGTTTATGAATCCAATTCACCACAACAAAACATCAAAGAAGCAAAATAATTAAATTCCCGTAACCAACTGTAGATGGCACCTCAATGCTCACCAGTGAACAGTCTCTAATATGTCAATCCTTCAGGAACTAAGACACAAAGCCTTGTTTAGGAGTTAATACCACTTCAATTTTCAGCACAAGTTTATAGGGTTTTCACAGGGGTTTGTATGTTTAAGAAGTCTGACAATCAGTCAAAAAACCAGCAGAAAACTCTTCCAGCTGACAGTGTTTAACAGTGAAGATACTCATTCCAGGTCAGAAAGAGATTCAGTGTTGAAAGGAAAGCAAAATGATTTTCTCTGTTACAATACAACCCACTCATAAGTGCTTAACAAGTGCTAAGTGTATGATTTTACTGACATGCAATAACATTTTAAAACATTTTTAAGACAGGAAAATGTGTTATTAGGTGGAGCGTGTGAAGGGGAAGTGTGAGGGGAGGAGAAGGTGATGAGGGGATGGAGGGACTTACCCATTGTTTGTCAATCTGGGATTCAAACAATGATGTGGAGGACACATGGACATGGAGGACAAGGAAGAACATGAGACAAAGAAAAAAGGACAAGCATAGTGAGCAATGTGGAACATTGAAAACAACATTTTCTCAATGTGTTTAACATGGAAATATATGGGTTACTTCTTTAAAGTCCCTCTCCGGTTATTGATTTAACCACTAAAAAGTTGCCAAGTTGTATTTTTATTTTTTTTCCCCATGAAAATAATCCCGTCGTTCCTTCAGGCTGGTTTAGATATAACTCTGCACCATTGCTTCATCAAGAACAGGGGTGTCCAATCCTGGTCCTCGAGGGCCACAGTCCTGCATGTTTTAGATGTTTCCCTCTTCCAACACACCTGATTCAAATGATCAGGATCGTTATCAGTCTTCTGCAGAGCTTGATGATGAGCTGATCATTTGAATCAGGTGTGTTGGAAGAGGGAAACATCTAAAACATGCAGGATTGTGGCCCTCGAGGACCAGGATTGGACACCCCGGATCTAGAATGTCCCAATCTATAAAGCCCCTGTGTCTCTCTACACCCACCTCTCCACCCTTTCCTGCACCTTGAGCACAACAGCTACTACTCTACTAAATCTACACTACATAACTGCAAGTGGTACTACTGGACTGCTTCAGCTGTATATGTTTGAACCAGGAACCATTTCTGAATAAGAATAATGATATAAAAAGCCACATCCTGAAAGCTGACGAAATTGGTTCCTTTTGAATTTTTACAAATAGAATGCCATGGCGTTGCTGCATATATAAAAACCATATGGACAATTTTACAAGGTAAAGGTCTTGTGAGTGAGACTGTGCAGGTCAAGCTATAGAAAGTTGTACATACTGTCAAAAGATGGTCATAGTGGTATCACCTATGGGTTTGTGGACTTGAAACGATCAGTTTGGTGTTGAGCTATGACCATGTGGGGCTTTTAAGACTGGACCTAACGGGTGAGGAGTGGATCCGATTTGAGAACTCAAGGGCACTATACATGTAAAAAAAAAAAAACGTGCACTACATCTGTACAAGCGGCTCAATTGTCTTTACTGGCTTCACAGCTCTGGCAGTTCTACCAGGTGTCTAAAAAATTTGCAACAGGTAAAAGTATTCACAACATTTAAATACCGTGAACCTCATCAGAACCTCATCAGAACCTCATCTATGCCTTTTTGTTCCTTGCCTCCTGCTGTACACTTTATTGCCTGTAATCTACTTTTTTTCCTAAGTGTAGAAAAAAAAGAGGATTGATTGACATGAAACAATGATTTTTGCTGTTGCCTTTTTCTGTTACAGTTTTAATGTCTAAAGTTGGAGTGAACGGCTAAAGGCCCCGTGTTTTGCTCTCTCTACTGGAATGGATTTTTGCTGCCTTACTACAATGTATTGCTCAGACTTAGTGTGATGTGCCCATTTAGCTTTTATTTTCATTTTATTCTGCTTTGGTTTAGGTTGTGTCTCCCACTGGGAAAGTTGAATATGTTGCATGTGTTGCCTGCCTATAAATAAACGGTTACTCTCTTATTTCTAAATGTAATACTCAACATATAATGTTGTTCAGAATAGTTAGATAAACATTACTAGACCATAAATATAAGTGTTTAAATCGATCCAGCCATTGCAATTGACTGATACTGTTTCCAGCAATGGGTCATAAGCCTTAAAAATTCTGATTGGAGCATCCTAACCGGAAACTACACTTTATGTACACAGACGTATATCTTCAGTATGTCATTGGTTTAAGTTGTTGTTTTTATATTTCCATCATAGTTTTTTTTTTAACCTAAGCAAACATTTCTTTTCATAAGCCATGCTACCCAACATTATAAACACGTTTATTGTGAAACTGAATAAGTGAGTAGTTGTTTTCTCCCAGTTAAAATCTAACATTAGCACGTTATTCAGTCTCTGTAAGTCCTAATGTATTGTTGCCTTTAAAAATCAACCATGTAAAAACTAGCAGATATAAGACAAGTTGTAAAGGACTTTCTCCTTTTGAAAACTCCTGAGAATGATTCATTCTTCAATCAGACTCTGAACATTTACCAATCAAGGTTATTCAGGTGTTGGAGTTTTTAGACTGAATGAAGTTCATACTGACATATTGAAAGAAACATTTAGCGCAACATAATGTCAACTTGAGGTTTGTTGTGTTTGGAATCCAAGAAAGACTCCAGAAAATCGCTTTGTCTCTCTCAAGTGGACAAATGTAAAATGCTCAACTTTTACTTGTTTGTTGACATGTCCATTCAAGATAAAAACTGTTTATATAACATAAAGCGTTTGTGATGTTGCTGCTTTAAAAAAAAAAAAAAAAAAAACTCTGTAGAGGCATTTTCTTCCAGGAAAAATAACATAACTTTTTGTACATGGAGAGAAAATACTTTCAAAACCTTAAAAAGCCATTGCTCTCGTCATTTTTACTTCTGGTTCCCTATGACATTCTTTAAGGGCTGCTGTCATGTCATGCACCAAAGCATTATGGTCTTAAATTCGGTGAGAGAAAAGAGAAAAGTTTAATTGTCCAAATTCAACTGATGTTCGCTAAACTCTGAGTGATTATTTAGCAATGACTCTGTCAAAGAGCTCTAAAGACTAAGTCCTTCTAACGCTATAAACGTAGACCAAACTGTGGGAATAGATTAAATTATTACTGTGGGAATTATGAAATTATTTTGTGCCATTATTAAATTGTGTGCCATTTGCAGCATGTAGGTGTCGAACTAACTAGCCTCCTACCTGGAGAACTAACTGTGGCCAAGGACATTTTAATTGATTACATATTTGTTAGCTCTGTCTTGAACAACTACAATAGTAAAATTCTTCTTATATTGTTTCTGTTGAATGTTAGTTCTTTAAGTTAATCCGATAACTAATCGATTAATAGTCAATCATTGTGGTACTACACCAGGAAATCAAAGAGAACTTGAGAAAATTCATATTTTGGTATATGAGACCGCAGTATTTTATTAAGTGCATGAAAAATGTACTATCACAGCATTTTAATAATTTCCCAGGTCTGGGATAAATAAAGTGTCTATTCTATTCTATTCTATTCTATTCTATTCTATTCTATTCTATTCTATTCTATTCTAAGGTACCTTTTGATGAATGGTGTCCTTGTGCTCTTTATTTTTTTAATTTATATTTTGTTCTTTATTTTACACTCTTTTCTTTGTTCTTTTATTGTATGGCCTTTGTTGTCTTAGGACCGTGGAACAGAAAGCAGGAGAAACAGTCTATATATGGATGCTGTATATATGGTCAAAGCTGGTATACAGAGCATCTCTCTGCAAGCAGACATTGAGTGTCAGTAGGAACAAGGGTGCTCTCGAGCAGCAAAGGCCCGGTGGAAGCTGGAGAAGTGAGGAAGCTGAAGGTTAAGAGAACAGCGAGCTTAGCTCTCTGTCAAGACTGCCGGCGGCCAAGGGTTTCGCACTCAGCAACGCCAAGGCCGCTGCCTCACACAGACTTCACGGTCATCCATTTAACAGCTCATGTTGAGCGTTTGGCCGTTTCAAGTGAACACGAATACACATGAACTCTCCTTCTGCTGGATGTTTGGAGGGAAACACATGTTTTAGTGGCTGATCTGACAGTTTGACTTGACCTCTTCAGTCTAAACCTGGAAATAAAAGATGGCAGAGGGTTTTTAGAAGTTGACATACGTTCACTCTGTGACGAGTGAGTCTGTGATGGTGGGTTGTAAGCTGAAAAATACAATCATCCATCCATCTTAAGTGATTTTCTGTGTTATTTAGCCAAGACTATTTTTTTTTTCACAAATACAATAAATGTTCTGCCAGCGTGGAGACGATTTCAAAAATGTTCCAACTTCAGTTTTCCTCTTTTTTCAGATTTTTTTCTCAAAGTTAGTTGTGGTGTTACCAGGGCCAGGACTATATCGAATCAGCATTTATAACAAAAATCACTTCATTCCAATCAAATTGCTGCAATTAAAGTGATTCACCGACAAAAGTAAATTCAATCTGTATGAAGCCTTTGTGTATGGTTCCGTTTTGGTGAAACTAGACATGGACATTTATTGAGCTGACCAACCCTCTCTACTTAATGCATCGACCGCAGCTACATGCAGATTCTGTCAGCCTTCATCATCTGTCTTGAACAGTTCCAGCTGTCGTATGCCCCCTACTTACTACCTACACTGCAAAACTACAAAATACTTTGATCACAATCAAAAGATCTCAGATATGTAACAGACACAGATCAAGATCATGTAGACAGTGGTGTTTTCAACTAGTTTTTAAGACCTAAAACAAATCTATTTGACTGAGAATTGATGAAGCAGTGCAAAGACCTCATCAGGACTATTACTAGAGGCATTATTGTTACCTTGTCCAAAAAAAACCCCTTGTTTGTTGCTAGGTGATATACCATAAACCAAATAAACTGTCAACTCCATGACTGAGCAGTTCCACCTTTGAGGTGCAGTGTACTGAAGACAGCCAGGGTTTTGTATTTAGCAAATGTAGGAAATCAATCCTGTCAGCTGGCAGGATGGGGCTTTCCGTATCTATTCTTGTTTCTTAGAATCGGTTTACAGTTTGAACATGTATTGCTTGCCATTGTGTAGTTTTACAATGAAAGGAGGCGACATTTAACTGGGGAAGCAGTATAGATGACGCAGTACTGATGTAACTTAACTTAGCTTCGCTTAATTCTAACTTAGCAACCTGTCAGAATCCAAAATGGTAAAAGCTATCATATCATCTATTAACTGGGAGTCATCCATTTTTACAAAACCCTGTTCTGCTGGAGCAGAGGTGCCCAATGCGTTGATCGTGATCAACTGGTCAACAGCAAATGTAATGTGCTAGATCGCATGCTATTGAAAAAAAAAAGTGATGTTAGCCTTTCATCCATCCTTCCTATGGCATTTGCCACTTGTTAGACGTACAGGGCAGCCAGTGTGAGATCTTTTCTAGCACACGGGTCACAACATATGCGCGATCAATCGCGTGAGCTGCTGGAATGTTTTTTCACCTGAACTCATCTGGAAGTGGAGGATGAGATTTTGGCACAACTGGTGACATTCAGCTGAGATCCAGGGCTAAAGGACAGCTTTGGAACTTACTCACAGAGGAAAAGTACCCAAACATGAGGAAATGATTAAAAGATTATTAAGTCCTAATACCGTTTCACCAGACTGATGGTCATTTGAATTCTGCTTGAGGTTGGCTTCTCGTAGCTACTGCTTGGACGATGCAACTGTGGCTGATTCCATTCAGTGCAAGTAATCAGAGTAAAGCAATGACCAAAAAAAGTATGGAAATGTATTGTGCCACAAGGGTTCATGCAGTTATGCAAAGTATGCCAACATATAGTGTGTATATAAAGTATATTCAGTATATATACACATAAATATATATGTCGCATTTTTAATGGAGGATCATTTTGACTTGTGCTCTACCAAAAAATCTAGCATATATCAGTCCTTACACAAGGGATTATTGTTAATTTCTTGTCTAGTTAGCAATTCATCTAGCTAGCTTGCTTAGTTGATCAGTGAACAAATCTTGTAGGGCTAACCTAAATAGTCGGTCCCAGCTACCTAGTGAGCTTCCAGTTAGCTAGCCAGCCGTAGCAGCTCAACAACCAACCCCCAAAATAACCAGTGTGTCACTACCAAACAATACGAAACAACAAAATTGTCAAGTCCGGAAACTGTTTTGCTTCTTCCATCACACTGGCTGTCATTGGGCTGCTTACATGTAGTCTGATCTTGGTATGAAGCTGATTGTCTTTCATTATGAAAACATGATTGCCTGCTCCTTGTATGTCAGGTGCTGCTGGTGGTGTGCAAGATTGTGTAAATGGGCAGAAAAAAACTGTTATGTTAGAAAAAAAGTGTAATCCATTTACCACTACATTCAACATGACACCAAAAGAGGTTGACGTGCGCTGGAAACAACTGAAATTTTACAAATGACTTCAATAATTTCCATCATTGTCATCAGAAAACCTAATGGGTGGGATGGAGATTATTATTATTTTATTTTTTTTTCAGGGAAAGATCATTTAGGTCTAATTTTCGGAGTAGAGATGCTTGTCTATGACTTTTGACAGCAGTGATCCTTTTCCTCTTTTCAGTTAAATTCAATTAAATCGGAACACAAACAGATAAAACTAAAACTGAAATATACAAGTGTCAGTGTCACATTAGTTTACCTCCTGGCCGCTGTCCAGCACACACAGTTTGGAGCATTGTTTTTTGGCATCCATCAGCACGTTGAACATGGTGCAGACTGACAGCGGCACCCGGAAGTCGGTTGACTTACTTGCTTTCTGCATTTTGGCATCAAATGCAGATTTTGTTCTGTGGGACAAAACAAAGACAGTTTCATGACTATTTATGACAGTGTGCTTTAAAAAAAAACAAAAAAACTGTGACAAACTTATCTTGAATATATTAAAAACAATAGAATGTCCGTTTTAGATGAGGTTGTGGGGTTTTGTATTATCAAGTAAGACATTAGTTTGCTCAGTTCCGTGCACATATTACAGCATCCTCACAGACAGAAACACAAAGCTCCAAAATGTAACCACGGAAACCTCTCAGTCTGACCTCTTGACGCAGGCCTCCATCATGTCACTCGCCATCAGTTTGAGTCTTTGTTCCAGATGTTTGGCAAACTCGATGTCTGGCCAGTGGAGGTCGAGCACGAACATCTGCAGAGCGTCCAGCTTCCAGAACAAATCATCGGAGGTGGCTGATCCGTTACTGCAGGGAAGATGGAGAGTGTTATTAAGTGAAATGAACAAAGACAACGTCACTACAAGCTTGTCTGTGGATTTGTTTAGCTTTCCACCACGACTACTGGAGCTTCTAAAAAGTTAATTTGTTTCACTGAACTCTTACTTTGAAAAAAATAACAGCATACCAATGTAGACTTTAGGTGACGACTTTTTACATATTTTTCAACCTTTCTTTAGGTGTTGCTAAAATATTATCACTGGAATAAATCAAGTATATTTATTTAGATAGCAGAGAAACTTTTGCTTTACTAATAATTTCACTTCCTTAAGACTTTGTTACATTTTTCGGTTCTGGACTTTTCTCAGGAAGGCTGTTTACTTTTGATATTTTGCTGTCCACATGATATTAAGTCGCTTTAAACAAATTCTAGTTGACAATATTTGTGTGTTTTTAAGTCTTGGAGCTACATTGTCATTTTTGCAAACAAATAAAAAAAAGACAATGTCAGTGCTTTGATTCTTTAGGTGAAAAGTCATTCTGGAACACGTGTCCCTGGTCGAGCTTGACCCACTATCATAACAGATGACACCGTAGATGGTAACGTCTGTAAGCTTCAGATGGGTATGCAGCTGTGAACAGGGACCCTTTTGGAAAAATCACTGCAATGGTGTGTTCAAGAACACTCCAAAACCCGAGGCTTTACCAGGTGCTATAGAAAAGAAATATTTGGAAACACTACGTGTAGGTGTGACTTTCTCAGCTAATGAAATATGTCTATCTGAATCAATTAGAGACCCATGAAATGAAAGGTTTTATGAAAATGTTATGTAAGTATCAGTATATTGTACATTTAATGCACCAGTTACGGAGTGCAACCGGTTATCTCACTGCAGCAAACAGATTTTCTAATTAGTTTTGTGTATTAAAAAAGTAAGAGTGCTCAGTATCTTGTGAACGACAAGTGTATCGAGCTTCTTGTGTGGTTCCTCAACAGGTTTTGGTAGTCTGGGGGTAGAGCTGTGTGGTTTCAGTCAGTAAACACAGCACCAGGCTGAAACAGAGACAGATGGACGTCTCCCCGCCTTCTCCCCTGCGCACAGGTTACACAGCAACACATGGCAACGCTCACCGCCACCGACATCCAAGTGTACAGCGCCCAGCTAGAATGACAGCCACAGGAGAATGGAGGAGGGGGAGGAAGGTGACAGGGGGGTTAAAACAAGCGCCACTCACTCCCTCACTTTTCTCACTTCGCCTTTAAAAGACTGTTACCTTAACAAGTGGCGCACAGGAATAAATGCTTTGAGCTGAGTCCGTGGTGCAATTAAACACTCAGTGGCTATCCCCCTCATGTCTAATTAGTGGTGCTCTTCTCTGAGCGCGCTCTGCCCCACTCCCTGGGGAATGGGACGATCCCACTCGCCCGTCTGTGCTCGCTAATGAAGTGCCAGCTTTTTTCTCTCTCTCTTTTTTTTTCGTGGATCGAGGAGGGCCAAGTGAAGTGAGGTAGAGGAACAGTGTGGTCTGTGTTGTGGGAAAGGCTGGGGGAGTCTGAATGAGGAGCCTTTTTAAGAAACACACCCTCAACCAGCCCCTTGAGACTCCCCCCCCCTCCCCAGCTCACCCCTCAACATGGCCACCAGCGCTGACAGTTCTATTGCAGACTAAATTGCTCTAAAACACACTGACAGGCACATGGAAACTTCAAGAAGTGTTTCTCGAACACCAGGCTGAGCAAAGCAAATCTGATTGAAGTGCACCTCAACTGCAAGTAATCTCTGGATTAATTTTGGATTGAAGCAGTTTATCAGGTCCATCAGAAGTTCCCAGAGCTCAAAGGTGATGTCTTAAATACCTTGATGTTCCTGAGCAATAATTCAAAAGTCAAAGACAGTCAGCTGTCAGAAATGAGAGAAGCTGGAAGCAGAAAATGCAAAGATATTGATCATTTACGTTGTACATTTTCTATGCATATTGCTTTTCTTAAGGCCTCATATCACCAATATTTCTGCCAACATTTGCAGCAAAATCAGTTCTTTTCGATGGAATTGCTGCCATTAGTGGGTTTGTATGTGGGCGGGGTAAGACAAAATGGAAATCTCAATTCCCTTCGCTAATTCTAATCCCTTTGTTCAGTTCATTTTAACATTCATTGTCAGTGACTTCACTTTTCTCCTAAGCTATGCAGTCTCATCACAGTTCAAATTAAAGCAACCGCACAACAGTAAGTGAATTGTTCACACAACTCGACGCTCAGCTCTGCTTCAGTCTGTCTTCACCTCAGTAGTCCCGGCTCCCAAGCTCCGCTCAGTACACACAACCCTATACAAGCTGTGTACATGAAGTAAAGCGTCCTCATATTCAGTTATTACATTATGATTGCTTCTGTGGGCTTTACAATCTTTGCACTTCCATTTTGCACTAATGTACATATACNAGTTGACAATATTTGTGTGTTTTTAAGTTTTGGAGCTACATTGTCATTTTTGCAAACAAATAAAAAAAAGACAATGTCAGTGCTTTGATTCTTTAGGTGAAAAGTCATTCTGGAACACGTGTCCCTGGTCGAGCTTGACCCACTATCATAACAGATGACACCGTAGATGGTAACGTCTGTAAGCTTCAGATGGGTATGCAGCTGTGAACAGGGACCCTTTTGGAAAAATCACTGCAATGGTGTGTTCAAGAACACTCCAAAACCCGAGGCTTTACCAGGTGCTATAGAAAAGAAATATTTGGAAACACTACGTGTAGGTGTGACTTTCTCAGCTAATGAAATATGTCCATCTGAATCAATTAGAGACCCATGAAATGAAAGGTTTTATGAAAATGTTATGTAAGTATCAGTATATTGTACATTTAATGCACCAGTTACGGAGTGCAACCGGTTATCTCACTGCAGCAAACAGATTTTCTAATTAGTTTTGTGTATTAAAAAAGTAAGAGTGCTCAGTATCTTGTGAACGACAAGTGTATCGAGCTTCTTGTGTGGTTCCTCAACAGGTTTTGGTAGTCTGGGGGTAGAGCTGTGTGGTTTCAGTCAGTAAACACAGCACCAGGCTGAAACAGAGACAGATGGACGTCTCCCCGCCTTCTCCCCTGCGCACAGGTTACACAGCAACACATGGCAACGCTCACCGCCACCGACATCCAAGTGTACAGCGCCCAGCTAGAATGACAGCCACAGGAGAATGGAGGAGGGGGAGGAAGGTGACAGGGGGGTTAAAACAAGCGCCACTCACTCCCTCACTTTTCTCACTTCGCCTTTAAAAGACTGTTACCTTAACAAGTGGCGCACAGGAATAAATGCTTTGAGCTGAGTCCGTGGTGCAATTAAACACTCAGTGGCTATCCCCCTCATGTCTAATTAGTGGTGCTCTTCTCTGAGCGCGCTCTGCCCCACTCCCTGGGGAATGGGACGATCCCACTCGCCCGTCTGTGCTCGCTAATGAAGTGCCAGCTTTTTTCTCTCTCTCTTTTTTTTTCGTGGATCGAGGAGGGCCAAGTGAAGTGAGGTAGAGGAACAGTGTGGTCTGTGTTGTGGGAAAGGCTGGGGGAGTCTGAATGAGGAGCCTTTTTAAGAAACACACCCTCAACCAGCCCCTTGAGACTCCCCCCCCCTCCCCAGCTCACCCCTCAACATGGCCACCAGCGCTGACAGTTCTATTGCAGACTAAATTGCTCTAAAACACACTGACAGGCACATGGAAACTTCAAGAAGTGTTTCTCGAACACCAGGCTGAGCAAAGCAAATCTGATTGAAGTGCACCTCAACTGCAAGTAATCTCTGGATTAATTTTGGATTGAAGCAGTTTATCAGGTCCATCAGAAGTTCCCAGAGCTCAAAGGTGATGTCTTAAATACCTTGATGTTCCTGAGCAATAATTCAAAAGTCAAAGACAGTCAGCTGTCAGAAATGAGAGAAGCTGGAAGCAGAAAATGCAAAGATATTGATCATTTACGTTGTACATTTTCTATGCATATTGCTTTTCTTAAGGCCTCATATCACCAATATTTCTGCCAACATTTGCAGCAAAATCAGTTCTTTTCGATGGAATTGCTGCCATTAGTGGGTTTGTATGTGGGCGGGGTAAGACAAAATGGAAATCTCAATTCCCTTCGCTAATTCTAATCTCTTTGTTCAGTTCATTTTAACATTCATTGTCAGTGACTTCACTTTTCTCCTAAGCTATGCAGTCTCATCACAGTTCAAATTAAAGCAACCGCACAACAGTAAGTGAATTGTTCACACAACTCGACGCTCAGCTCTGCTTCAGTCTGTCTTCACCTCAGTAGTCCCGGCTCCCAAGCTCCGCTCAGTACACACAACCCTATACAAGCTGTGTACATGAAGTAAAGCGTCCTCATATTCAGTTATTACATTATGATTGCTTCTGTGGGCTTTACAATCTTTGCACTTCCATTTTGCACTAATGTACATATACCTTTTTCTACTAGATGTGTAAATTCTTGTATATATTTGTCTTATTATCTTGTTTTATTTTTTTTTATTAATATTCATTGTATTTTATTCTTTTCTTTCTTTAGTTATTTTACTTTATTTTAATTTTTAATTTTCCTATTTCTATTATTCGTGCAAATTCCAAGGGCGACACCAACAGCCGAAACCAAATTCCTTGTATGTTGTGTACGTACTTGGCCATTAAAGCTGATTCTGTTTCTGATTCTGATTCTGATAATACACTGTTATTAAGGAAGTACTATCATGCTGTATCAGTGACAGCAGTGATCCAATACAGTTAGCTCACTTTGAAAATTCATTGATGAAACTGTCATATTTGACAATAAAGTACAAATCAAAGAAATCTGCCCTGTAGATCAAAAGGAGCCTAGAACTGCACAAAACAGAGGAATGTATTGTAGCTTACTGGCCATGTCGGGCTACCTGCCTTCATTTAACCTCGTCTGTTGAGCAGCATAAAACCTGCTCTACAACAGAGACACGGTTCACACGCAGCTACAAGAACAAGTCAACATTACGTGTGCATCTTTTTAAAGAAATTGAGTAAACTTATGTGTAAACTCTTTAGTAACTTTATAGATGGAATTCATGTGCAAACATCATATACAGAGACAACCAAAAGAAACTTGGGGACCCAGTATTACTTTCGTTGTGCCAGCATAGTAGCTGCAAAGTTACATGATTCACCAACCTGAGTAAGACATACACTGCCAAGCCTCGGCATCGGCAGGCGTCACAGAGATGCTCAGATGAACCGTCATCCACAATTTGAATGATTCAAACCAAATATGCCAGCTTATTTTTGGTATTACACATCTTCTTATGGAGAAGAAGGTCATTAGGAAAAGGGGAAATTTGCAATTTGGGAAAAACTGGCACATTCACAGTCAGTAAGTGACCATGGTACACTACATACAAATCAGACTTTTCTGTTTACTGAACTAATAACTGCTTTTTGAAGCATCACTTTTTAACTGGGACAGTTATGCATTCTTTCATCACCTCATATCCAGACAACTGCAGCATAGTTAGTTAATAGTTAGTAAATGTTTCAGAGTTGACATTGTTTTCTTATCATCTTTACAAAATAACAAAACTTCCTCATGAGCTAATTTTTTGTGTACCCAGCCGGAGGTCTTCAGGTCTTTACAGTTGAGGCCCAACTCAAGATCAAGTGAACCAAATGTTTTGCTCAGAACTTATTTTTACAGATGTAATAAGTTTTTTCAAAGACATCTGATTGTCTTTCATTTTAGTTGTAACTGAGGTTTTTTTTATTTTTTAATTCTCATTATTAATACTAGTCCTGATAATCAGACGTTGGTAGAGATCTCTAAACAAAAAGGGTAGGGGATTCAGGGAAACTAGGCTTGAGATGGTCCCTATATTTTGCCTGCGAGCCTCTGTTCACAACGGAAATGCTTTGAAGTTAGTTTTTTAAGAATACATTGTGTGGGAAATCACAAGACTAAAACTACTCACAGGAAACATAAGTAACAGTGATCATTGGGACAGACCGTTAATTGGCCTGTTCAATGATTGTGGTTTCTGATTATCAATATTGTTATATTTATTAACTCATTATTGATAAAACGAATGCGCTACTTTGAGTCTGACGCAGTCGTCTCTCTCTTTCTGTTGTTACTCTGAAACAGAAACCGGAAATCAGCTACTTTTACATAAGCTAAGGCTACGCTAATGGCTAGTGGCTATGCTGAGAAGCAGTCAAAGATTACTCCAAAACAGCATCTGAAAAACAATAATTAATGCTTTTTTGTGTGCCTCAGTGAGCAACAACAGTGATAGAACAATATAGCAGATGTAACTGCAGGGGAAGATGAGACAAACTGTTTAGTCTCAAAGGTGGATGTCAAAGTGAACTAAGGAAAGCATCTTGGCATCGTGTGATTCTCTGATGTAATCACTCCTATTTCTATTCTACATATTATAGTCCTTATTAATAAAGAAGCCTAGTTATAAAGGATAGGTTCAAAGCCATCACAAGTTACGACTATATAACATGTATTGTATATCGGATCCCTAATTGATCACCTCGTTACAATGCAGTGTTCTGCTGGGAACACCTCCAAGGAATAGCTTGAGGAACACATCAAAGAGCCCAAGGCGTTGACCCAGATCCCTGTCTGATCAAGCATCTGTGGAATGCACTGATCCACAGAGGCCCAACTCGGAAACCCACAGGATCCACAGGATTTGCTGTCAAAGTCCCGGTGCCAGACCACACAGGACACCCCTGAGAGCTGTTCTGGCAGCATTAGGGAGATACACACCGTATCAGGAAGGTGCTTGTAATGGTGTGGCTGAAGGACAGCCATAGTAATTTTTTCACTTTGTCTTTTATTATTTGCCAAGTGGTGTATTTTGGAGCTTAAGAAGAAATGGTGTGTGTGGTTTTTTTTTTTTGTAAAGCTTTCTCATATGCGAAAAAGAATATCTTTTAACTTACAAGATGTCAGGCAGATTTATTCCTTGCAAGCTGCAACAGAAAGTTGAGGTGCTGTGTTATTGAATCACTGACATTTGTCAAATTGTAACATGCACAATGCACAGCACAAGGACTCATGACACACGAGGAGTCACAAAATCTTCACCAGCGAGTGTTCAAGGAATGATCAATGCAGGTGATGCCCTACTGACAAAAGAGCCTCAGTACCACAGAAAGAATCTAAAATCACAAACCTCCCTCTGCTGCTGATCCTGGCTCATTCAGATGAAAAAACTGCAGTAAGCTCTTTAGTTCATGAAGGATTTTGTGGACTTCAATAAATTACTTTCGTTAAAGAACATTCAAACTTGAACAGGGAACCATGCAGGGAAATAAAACTACATTAATCAGTTAAACTCTGAGTGGAATAGATTGATATTGACACTTCAACAAGCATGCAGACAAGATGAACTGAAACAGAACTTGGACACCACTGCTGAGAACTGGACAATCAGAGGCCAGTCCAGACTACAGGTCTTCACTGATACCTCATCCCAAATGATCCTGCCCCTGTCCACTGTGCATCTTGTTTATTTCCTAAATTTCTGTCAGTAATATATTAGCTTGTGTTAGGAGTAGTAGGGCTGGGCCATATCATACCGTGCACAGTAATACCAGTGTAATGTTAGGGGATGATATGAGATTAAAATATCGCGATGAAGTTTGAGTGCTGTTGTTTTTGTCCGGTCTAATGCACATGGAGCGAGAAGCATGGCGGCGACTGAGGAAGAGGGCGAATGCAGTGCATCGACCGACACAGTAGGGATGGACCCGAATATCGGAATATTCAGTCGTTGTAGTGGTATCCGGATAGCAATTTAGAGATCTGAACATTCGCCCGCTGCTACCCTTTGAACTATTTTGTCTTGCATCAATTACATCATTACTGCTATAAATATTTGTGGCCATATCACCCTGCCCTAAGGAGTAGTATGTTCAGCATCAGCATGAGTAGTACTGTTAGCATCAGCTTTGTACTCACTTAACAAAACATATATTTATTGTTTTTGCTATTCAAAGAAATAATGCTAAACATTACATGTTTATATGTTAAAGGCATGCATGCACATGTTAGCATGGTAACATTGCTAATCTGACATGTGTGACTGTACCTACAGTAAAACACACAC